TCTCTCTCTCTCCCCTCTCTCTGTCTGTCGCTCTCAATCTCGCTCTCGTTTCTCTCTCTCTCTCTCTCTCTCTCTCTCGCCTCTCTCTGTCTGTCGCTCTCAATCTCGCTCTCGTTTCTCTCTCTCTCTCCTCTCTCTCTCTCTCTCAATCTCTCTCTCTCATCTCTCTCTTTCTCTCTCTCTCTCTCTCTCTTTCTCCTTCTCTCTCTCAATCTCTCTCTCATCTCTCTTGCTCTCTTTCACTCTCTTGATTCCCCTCCCATTCACAGCGTTAGAGAGACAGGCTAGATTGCAACTTTGAAAGAAACTTAGGGATAACCATGCTTGGGTCTGAAGTAGGTGGTTCAAATCCCATTAAGAGCCAGCTTATCACTGAGCTGAAACAGCAGCTGACAATATATATTTATGTATACATATATTTAAATATTATCTATACCCAAAGGACATTTGAACTATACATCAAGCGAACCCACAAAGTATCTCTACAACTAAAAATTAGGAACAAAAGCAAGAGTATCCAGGCTTGGTTATGCGGAAGCAAAGGCAGACTTCAGGCATAAGCAAGCAATCCCAAGCACACGGAGACTGGCCCATCTCAGAGGAAGAAGGCCTAGAGAGCGAATGTCACTGCAGGCTGCTCTGTGCTCCTCTGAGCACCTTTGCTGTTGAATTGAGTGTCGAGCCCATGACCTTCTCTGCTAGCATTGCCAAAGGCCAGCATTTTTAATGACGTCTCTATTAGATCAGATTGAGAAACAGTCCTCTCATGCCACCAAGTCCTAAAATGAAAGAATTCAGCAGGTTCAAACAATTCCTGGCCAGCTTGCCCCTGCTGTGGGGGATCAGTGGCCCTGTTTCAGTTTTCCTTCTCAACACTCATCATACGTGGAGATGGAGGTCTGTAACAAAGATGGTTTATTTACAGTCACTAAGTCCTAATCCAGAATAGGCTCCTATTCTACACATATTCCCCTCTTAGGAAAATTGTCATCAACTCTGCCTCTAAAGGGTTAGAATGAATTGGTATTTCAAAGTGCCCCAGATAGCTGTGCCTCAAGGTCCTCTTGCTTCTGGGCTAACTGAGTCCTGGGGTAGTGCAGAAGCACCAGCTATAGGGATGCAGAGGAATGAATGGACAGCAGAGAACCTTTCATCTCCTGAATGATCAACAGAGTCTAGAATGATCAAGAGAGACAAAGGAGGAAGGCAGGGCTCCTTTACACCGTCTCACTTCTGTCTGAAAGAGCTGTCTGCCCTGTGGTGTCTCCTGCTACTAACAGGGCAGGAGTCATTGGCCTCTCCCAGAAACAGTGTCATCTGCTAGGCCGCGTACAAGCAAGCTGTGTAAACACCATGATCACAATTATACAATGAAAAGCAAACAAGAAACATTTATTAAAACCAATATTAAAATTAACACAAATGAAAAAATCTATAACAATAAGAAAAACTATGACTTGGGAGGGGTAGCTTGCTGGGGGTCTGGGAATGGTGCTGGGCTGAAACCAGGGGTGATTCTGTGGGGAACAACAGGACTGGTGCTGTCTGCAGAGCAGAGAGATGAGGGACACTGAGATGAGCAAGGGGGCCGGACTGTTCCTGGGAGAGTTAATTCCCCCCCCCACAAAGTTGCACTGTGTCTGCTGACAGGCTGAGAGGTCGAGTGGCCAGAGCATCCACGGCTAATGGCAGGAGTGGGGACCCAACTGCTGCTCCATCTGCACACGTGGCACAGATCTTTCTCGTAGGTTTTCTGCTCTCCCGCTCAGTGCACAAGATGGGTCAGGCTCAAGAGTAGCTGTCTTTGATGCTGGTTAGATCTGTCCATGTGCGGCTCTCCCTGCAGCTCTGAGGATCTAAGGATAGAGACAGATTGCTGCTGATGTAGGCATCTCTTGACGGAGAAGTGGCAGTGCAGGGAGAGGAGGGGAGCTCATGCCCAGGATGAGACCTCTTTCTTAGCCTTTGCAAACACAGGGGAGACCATGTCTGCCTGAATTCCCAGATGCTATCCTGCAAAAGCATGTGTGCCCAGCCTAGGGTCCAGTAACTACTGCTGCAAAGAGGAGCCTCTTAAAGATCCCACGAGCATTTCAGGTCTTGAACCCACCTCAAAGAGTGTCAAGTAGCTACCTGGGCTTACTCATTCGCTGTCCTCTGAATCACTGTCCACTTCTACCTCCAAACTCATATGGATCTCATGGAAACGAACAAGAAGATCTGAGTACGGAATGTTCAACATCAGGTAGGTCTTCACCTTCTTAAGTGCAGACAGGTTTGTGGTATTTGAAAAATCTCCGGGGAACTCGTCCATCCATGTGTGCAGGAGGGTACAGATGATGCTGGTGGAAAGACACAGACAGCACAGTCAGGGGCCTGGACTTTCCTCCTCCACCCCTGCTAGACTCTGTGCATGTGAGACTGCGAGGGAGAAGATACCCAGCCCTTATGCAAATGAGGACAATGAGCAGGGCTGAGAGCTCCATGTGAGCAGGGAGCTGCACACAGCCCATGCTCAGGCTCTAATGGAGCACAGCTGAGCAAGCCTTCATGACAGGACTGAGATGAGTGTAGAGTCTCACATTGGCACAGGAGGTGACAGGCTTTCTGCATATCCGCACTTGTAAGGACCCTGCCCATGCAATTCTTCAGACCCTCCAGGCAATGCTTAGACATCCGTCTGGTAGTAGAAACCAGGAGCGTGAGACCCAAGCATGGGCCATCCCTCACCCTTGGTACCCAAGGGAGCCCACCCTGCAGAGCCAAGGCCTTTCTCGTGTTGTAAAGCCCACTTACTTCTTTATTTCTTCATCTTCTTCACATCCAGGACGGAAGTATGCATACCTGGGGGAGTTGAGGAAGGAAGTCACCTGTGGGGTCCTAGTTCTCCACCTAAAAGACATCTAAGGGACCTATTGATTCCTGGAGCAGAATCAAAGTCCAGAGCCTAGAAGCTCTGTCTGCTCTCGAGTTATTAGTTCACCTTTATTCAGTAGGGGCTTCAAATATGTTCGTACAGTGGGTGATCACAAGTATGTCTACCAAACATCTCAGTGGGCACAGGTGCCCTTGGATTCCCCTCCACGGGTCTCCACTCCAGACCCATCTCTATTCCGTGCTACTGTAGGAGTTCTAGCATCTCCTTTACAATGAGAGAAGTGATTTGACTAAGATTCCAGAAAAACTGGCCAAGGATAGGGAGCTTCTTGAAGGTGCAGAGGACCCCCACACTCTTTGCGTCTCCGCTGTTCACGTGACAGTTCCTAGGGCACAACCTGGAGGAAGCAACATCTCATACCAAGCTGCTGGCTTCTGACAAGACTCTAACAACTAAGTGGCTCAGAGAAAGGCAGAGACTTCCCATAAACAACAAGAGGACCTGAGGCCTCTGAGCTGGGAGGTGTGCACTCACCGTCTGAAGAGCAGGTCGAGTATCTGCTGGATGGTGGCACACATCGGGTATATATAGAGGTAGGCTATGAGAGAATTCCGGTCTCCGTCCTTCACAGCAGTCAACATGTTATCCACCAGCACATCCAGCGTGTTGATGCAGAACTCCTTTGGCTCATTTGGGGCAAACACACTGGGCTCCTTTGGACCACACTCCTTAGTGTCCTTTGGACCAGACTCTTCAAGGTCGCTTGGGAAAGACTCCTTCCTCTCCTCTGGGGCAGTGTTCTTCAGGACAATTGGGGCAGACTCCTTTGGTGCAGACTCCTTCTCCACCTGAGGGGAGAGCAAGGACTCCTTCTCCACCTGAGGAGAGAGCAAGGACTCCTTCTCCACCTGAGGAGAGAGCAAGGAGGATGATTCAAATAGGCACAGAACTGCAATGTTATAATTATTATCATTCCACGTTTCCTGAGCCTTTACACTGCCAAACTCTAAGAGTGAAATTTGGGAAAATGGAGATTTCAGAGTGGTTACCTGGTCTATGCGGTCCTGGTCCTGGCTGCCCTGACTCAAGGTTTTTTCTTTCTGACCAAATGGCCAGAGGCACTGGAGGCAGGAGTGAACCCAGCTTCTCCGGGCACCACCATGGCCTTCACCTTGGCCTCTACTTTTCTCAGTCTTGAGGTCTGAGCCTCCACGAACTCGAAAACAACAGGAGAACATCCTGCTTTCTCTCCTGTCTGAAGACAAGTGAGCCTACTGGGCTGTCTCTAGGCAGTTGACTACCTGGTTGCAGGGCTCTGCATTGTGATGTCATCGATAAGGAAGTGAGGTCACTCCTGGAGTCCCCTTGCTTGAGTCTTCTCCTCACACAGGGCTTTCCCAAAAGTCTCCTAGGTCCCCTCCCTCCTCCAGGTGCACTACGTGACACAGCTACAAAGGTGCTTCCTATTCCACTGCCCCTAGTGATGTCTCCTCCCTCCTCCCAGGTGCACTGCTTGACACAGCTACAAAGGTGCTTCCTATTCCACTGCCCCTAGTGATGTCTGGGTACAGGCAGCAGCTCACTTTGCAATCTGAGCCCCTACTGTTGACCTGCATCTGTTACCCCGATAAACTCAACTTTAATTGACCCAGCACACTGTAAACCGTTGTCATATGCCTTGGTTTAGGCTACTATGTGTGTGTTCTGTGTGAAATATGAGCATACATCACCTGTGTGTGTTGGGTTTTCATGAGGACTAGAAGGGGACTTTTTTTTTTAAATCAAGGTTTCCAAATTATTTTGTTTTCCATGTTTTAAATTATGAGCACTTCTTTTTAGGTGCCTTTATGCTCCCCTGTGCTTGTGATCTCTCTCTCTCTCTCTCTCTCTCTCTCTCTGTCTGTCTGTCTATATATATACATATATATATGTATATATGTATATATATTTCCCTGTCACATTCAACTTTGAAAGAAACTTAGGGATACCCATGCTTCGGTCTGAAGTAGGTGGTCCAAATCTCATTCAGAGCCAGCTTTTCACTGAGCTGAAACAGCACGTGACAATATATATTTATGTATATATATTTAAATATTATCCATACCTACAGGGCATTTGAACCATACATCAAAGGAAACTAGGAAGTATGTTTACAACTAAAAATCAGAATCAAAACCAAGAGTATTCAAGGTTTAGTAAAGCATATTTAAAGGCAGACTTCAGGCATAAGGCAAGGAATCCCAAGCACACGGAGACTAGCCCGTCTCAGAGGAAGCAGGCTGGAGAGCGAATGTCACTGCAGGCTGTTCTGTGCTCCTCTGAACACTTTTGCTGTTTGAATTGAGTGTAGAGCCCGTGACATTCTCTCCTAGCATTGCCAAAGGCCTGCATTTCTACTAACGTCTGTCTAAGATCAGGCTGAGAAACAGTCCTCTCATGCCATCAAGTCCTGAAATGAAAGAATTCAGCAGGTTCAAACTAGTCCTGGCCAGCTTGCCCCTGCCGTGGAGGATCAGTGGCCCTGTTTCAGTTGTTCTCAACACTCATCATACGTGGAGATGGAGGTCTGTAACACACATGGTTTGTTTACAATCACTAAGTACTAATCCAGAATAGGTATTCCTATTCTGCACATATTCTTCTCTCAGGAAAATTATCATTAATTTTGTGGTTAGAAATGAATTTGTTTTGCAAGCATTTTATTGAGTTTTTTTGCATCAATATTAATAAAAGAAAGTGGTCTGTAATTGTCTTTCTTTGTTGAGTTATTGTGTGGTTTGTATATCAGGGTGACTGTGAACTCATCAAATGAATTTGGCAATGTTCCTTCTGTTTCTATTTTGTGGTGTAATTTCAAAAGTCTTGGTATTACCTCTTCTTTGAAAGTCTGGTAGAATTCTGTGCTAAAACCTCCTGGCCCTGGACTTTTTTTGTTGGGAGACCATTAGGGACTGCTTTCATTTCCTTGGCCTATTTAATTCTTTATCTAATCTTGATTTATCCTCGCAAGTGGCAACCATTGAGAGAATTACCCACTTCTTTTAGCATTTTTTAATTTTGTGGAATACCGGATGTTTTTCAAATTTTTAACCTAATTCATCTATTTATTCATTTCTTTATTGGTTGTTGATACAGTGGTCCAGTGTTGGCAGCCCTGGACCCTGTCCTGGAACTGTTCTGTATGCTCTACTGGCCTTGAGCTCAGAGATTCACCTGTCTTTGAATCCCAAGCACTGAGATTAAAGGTGTGCTCCACCTCCTCCCAGTGGAATACAGGTTTTAAAGTATGACTCAATGGTTCTTTACATTTCCTCAATATCTGTTGTTAGGTTCCTTTTTCACTTATAATTTTGTTAATTTGGATATTCTCTTTCTGCCTTTTTCTTAACTTGGATAAAGGCTCTCAAAGAAACAACTCATTGTTTCATCCATTCTTTGTATTGGTCTCTTTGATTCTATTTTATTGATTTCAGTCCTCAGTTTGATTATTTCCTGACATCCACTCCTCTTGGGTAAGCTTCCTTATATTTGTTCTAGAGTTCAGGTGTGCATTTAGTTGCTAGTATGAGCTCTCTCCAATTTCTTTATGTAGGCACTTAGAATTATGAAATCTCCTATGCACCAGAAGAGGGTGCCAGATTCCCTGGAACGGGATTGTGAGCCACCAAGTGAGTGAAGGGAACTGAACCTATGTCTTCCTCAGGAGCAGCGAGTGCTTTTTAACTGATGAGCAGACTCTCCAGCCCCCATTTTTGTTCTTATGTACTGCTTTGGGAGCATGTCATTGATGTAATTGAAAGAATCCTTAAGTTTTCAGTGACTGGCTCTACTGTGAAGAGAGCTGTGTCCTAGAATCTCCCTTGAGGGTACATATGTGTTCATGCTATTGCTCTATGTCCCCCTTACCCCTCCCTCTTCTTATCTTCCTTTGTTAAGTAAAGGAATCAGAACAATGTTCTTTTAGTATAGTCAACTTCGTTTGCTAACTTATTCATACACTTGATACAAGAAGAAATTCAAACAATGAGACTCAAAATCTTCTTCTTTGTGGAGCCTAGCTGGGACCTTCTAAGCAGGCAGAAGTAAGTCAGCCAGGGTCCCTGGGCCTGGCTTGGTGGGAAGACAGCCAGGGACCCTAAAAGCACTGGGCATGTGCATGCCCCACATTTGTGGTGATAAAGAGGCAGAGAATTGGTAGAGTTAGAGACGTGGAATGGCTCTTATGCCATGGGAAGACACATACAGGAAGAAAGGCAAATGCAGAGGATCAGGCAGATACTGGAGGCCAACTCGGCACCTGGGTCCATGGTGACAGCAGTGAAGGAGGTCTGCTTGTTACCTGTGACCATGGCGATGTCCGAATCAGGTGGCTACCAAGGGCCATATGTGGGTCTCTGGTTTTATTGTAGCCAGGGTCTGTGTTTTCATCTATGGCTTCTGTTGCCGTGGAGTGCCTTGCTGACTCCAGATGGCTGGGCTTCTTCCTGGGGCCCATGATGGAGGAGGGTTATCTGTCTATTGTGTTATTTTCATTGGTCAATAAAGAGACTGCCTTGGCCCCTTGATAGGACAGAAAATTAGGTAGGCGGAGTAAACAGAACAGAATGCTGGGAAGAGGCCTATGAGGCAGACGCCATGGAGTCAGCCACCAGGTCAGACATGCTGAATCTTTCCCGGTAAGCCACACCTCGTGGTACTATACAGATTATTAGAAATGGGTTAATCAAGATGTGAGAATTAACCAGTAACTAACTCTCTAGAGATAATGGGCCAGGCAGTGTTTAAATGAATACAATTTGTATGTTGTTATTTCTGGGGCTAAGCTAGCTGCGCAGGAACCGGGTGGGATAAAAAGCAGGCCTGCCCGCAGTCCCTCACTACAGGCCCAGATCATGCTCACTACACATGCTGCCATTGGATCTATACTGATCTGGGTGGCATTTGCTGTCTTTTGGGGCCATGGTGACATCCAGGCCTAGGCTGCTACCGAGGACCATGTCTGTGTCAGTGATCGTACCACAGCTGAGGTCTATATTGATAATTATCTCTCTATGGTGCCCCCAAAGGCCATATGAAAGCTGGGGTCTGGGCCACATCCTGTCATCTTGTTGGTGTCCAGGATCCGTGGTGCCTCAGAGTCATCCTGATCTGAGTGCCCAGAGCTACAACTCAGAACAAGAATGTCAACCAGGCTAAGCTGCTGCCTGAGGCTTTATGTTGGTCTGTGAACCAACTGCAGTTGTCTACCATTGAACTCTGTGGTACAGGATACCACTAGGGCCCATACAGAGGCTCAGGATATGGTCCAGAGCCTGTGGCTTGGGGGGAGTCACGGGGACCATGCTAGAGCAGGAGCCATTGCAGATATGGGTGGCCTGTGCTACCAACCAGGGCCAGAGTGTCATCTGGGCCCAGGCTTCTGCTCTGGGCTGTGTCTAAGTTCGTGGCCCTGTAGCGGCCAAGGTCTAGACTGACATATGTGGCTCTGGTTGCCACTGAATGCCACGAAGAAGCCCTGGGGTCAAACCAGCAACCTGAGTCTGGTTGGGTGTCCCAGGACCAGGATGCTTTCCTATCTCAGAGACCTGTGCTGCTACTCAGTGAGCTGGCAAAGTCTGAGCCCAAGCTGCAGCTGAGGGCCAGGTCAGGGGCCATGGCCCCTCTGTAGTCGGGGTCTGTGCTGATGTCTGATGCTCCTGTCACCATGGAAGACCTGGAAGACACCTATTATCAAGGGTCAAGACAGGGTCTGTGGCCATGCCCCTGCTGGGAGCAGTGGTGTTATCCAGACCGTGCTGCTGCTGCTGCTGCTGCTGTTGCTGCTGCTAAGATCTGTGTTGTGGTCCATGATCCAAACACAGATGTGTTCTGACTTGAAGTCCAGGTCCTTCACTGCCACTAATGGTCACATAGAGGCCCAGGGTTGGGGCCGCAACCTGAGGCCTTGGGGTATCCGGCTACCTTACGGCTACTGGAACCATTTCCACCTGAGCGGCCGTTCCTTCCACCCAGAGCCAGAATGTCTTCTGGGCCTAAACTGCTGCCAAGGGCCATGTCTGGGTCCATCGTCCAGCCACAACTGTGGTCTGTGTTGATGCTTGTGACCAGTGGTTCCTCAGGAGGCCTAAGGAATCACGTGAGATGAAATCAGAGGGCTGTACTGAACCAGGCCCACCCTTCACTGCCCTGAGAATGCTGGCTTTAGCTCTCTCTGCTCAGCACAGCAAGAGAGCTGGCTCCTGCACTCAGGAAAGAAGGCCCCCACCCATCATCATAGGTGAGGGTGAACCTACCCTGAGGGCATGCATGTAGGGAAG